CGATATAAAGAGAGATACTACATACTCCGTATATGTTATAGGACTTGTATTTCATCTTATTATTATTATTTTTATTCAATTCAATACTCAAAAAAGAAATATATTGTCCCATTCGTACAATTTTTTGGACCTACTATCCCATGCAATAATATCCTTGATTCCGTGATCACCATTAAATTCACTATTATATCACCAATAATAATCCAACCACTCTTCAACTACAAACCTCCAACTACCTTCCTGTCACAACCCCTTCACTACTTTCTCTACGCGCCGCCGCCCTCTGCCGCTTTCTTCCCAGCGGCACGCTCTGCTCTGGTTGTCAGCCACTCCAAAACATCTCCAAACACTTGTTCCACATTCTCCTCCGGTTCTCCTACCAGCTGGTGCCACATTCCGGGGTAAACATTCAGAGTTTTGTCTTCACTAGACGCTCGCCGGTAAAGGTTCTCGACGCAAGCCGGATCACAGACGACGTCCCCGCCGCCGTGTATGACCAGGAACGGCACCTTCACTTCTTCGAATCTCCTCTGCAGATCCCCGCACACTCTCACCAGTTCACGCGCCGTCGCCGCTCGTGGTCTCCCCAGTGGCCTCCTAGGGCTTGCCACTGCCAGTTTCCTCTTCCACTCCATCTTCGTGATTCCCCAATAAAAAAAAACAGTTTTAAAAAAGTGAATAAAAATAGAATATAATTCAACTCCCTTACCTTGAATGAGACTTCAGGAATAGAGCCACGAGTGGGAACAACGCGCCATGTGGGAATGAGAAATGCTGCAATGTCCAGAAGATGCTCCAACGGCCACGGCGGTTTGAACTTAGCGCTGATACCGCACATGGCCCCGTTCAAAACGACGCCGTCAAAAGGCCTATTTAGAGCAGAATCTCCCTGCCGGAGAGTAATGAGAAGTGCAATTGCGCCGCCGAGAGATTCAGCGTAGAGAAACGAAGGAAGATATGGCGGCGCGTGGCGCTGACGGAAAGAATCGAAGAAGGCGATACAGTCATCGACGACGGGGTTAATGTCGGGTATATGAGCCACGAGGCCATCGGAGAAGCCATGGCCTTGGTGATCGATTGCACAGACGGCGAAACCGTGCTTGGCGAAGTGAACGGCGGTGAGTTGAACGAACCAGCTGGACTCGCCGGTGAATCCGTGAACAACGCAGACGACGCCGATAGGGTTAGCGGGAGGGAGTGGGGTCCACCACTGAGTGAAGAGTTTGAGACCTCGAGAATTGGTGATGAACTCGGAGCCGTGACTCACTGAGTGGTGAGAATAGAACTCGTCGGGGCTCAATGACCCGAATGGGCTGACCTCGTTCGCCTCTGCAACTGGATGCTTCATTCTTTCGTTACTTCAAATGGAAATCACCAAAAACCTTTATAAAGAAAATAAAACTCACTTGATACATTAAATGTTACGGAAATTGATGCTTGCTTTTCACAAAATTTGAAAATAATACATGCCATTATAACGATTAATTAATATTTATGGTATAATCATGGTAAAGGATGTCGAGGGTCTATTTGGAAATAGCCTCTCTACCCTACCCGCAAACGGTCGAAGGATCGTCTACCAAACAGGGGCAGAAGTTTGAGGAGGACCCTCAAAATTCTAACATAAGAAGCTACAATGTCTCTAAAATGTGTCACAGTTACTAGTTCATCTAAAAATTGCTTGATATATCAATATATTTCTAAAATGACTCTATTGTTATCAAAAAATTGCAGGGGTAAGGTCTGCGTACACACTATCCTCCCCAGACCCCCACTAAGTGAGATTATACTGGGTGGTTGTTGTTGTTGTTGTTATAATCATGGTAAAATATTAAATTTGGTAGCATACACCTTGTTCTGGTTAAGTTTTTCCTCCCAAGCAGCTCAACTGCCCCTCACAAACACATTATGTATTATTATTGTACATCAACTCATCAATAGGCTAATTGATAAAACAATTTTCGGCTAAAAAGACTTAAGAGATTTAGGGGTGTGCATTCGATTTTGACCCTTATTGATAATTACTTATCGATTTGTACATATGCTTATCGTTATCATTTCAATAAGATTTCGATTTTTTCAATTTCGATTTATCGAGTTTTGGGGCTTATCGATTCGGTTATCGATTACACCAATAAGAAAATTTGCGGGATTCCACGGAAAGTATATTGCTATAAACACGCCTAACTAATATGGACAAAAAGAAGCTAAAATAAGACGAACACTGTTTATAACATAAAAATTGTGTCAACAAGCACATGCAACGAAACTAAAGTAAGGGATCAAATGTATATCATTAACACTCCAACGGTATAAAAAAATAAAAATACATCATCACGGCTAATTCTATTTTCCATTAATTTGAACTTCATTCCCTTGAGCTTTAAATATGATCATTCCTTAAATGTGGTAGATGAAATAATAGGGTTAGGGACTTAGGGTAAATGAAAGGGTATTATAGAATAAGGGTAAAAAAAAAAAATAAAAAAATAAATTTAGTATATCTTATCGGTTTATCGATAAAACGATAACCGGAGAGGACAAAACCGAAATCGAAATCGAAATCGATAACTCTATAAGGAAAATATCGAAATCGAAATCGATAAATCGATAAACCGATAACAAATAATTGATTCGATTTATCGATAAACCGATTCGAATGCACACCCCTAGTGAGATTGCAGGGTTAATTGGCTATCATTATTTCAAAAATCGCCCAAGACTCATAAGGGAATATCTAGAGAATTTTATCGGGAGAAATTCAAAAATAGCCAGATTTACAACTGATCGTTCAAAAATAGCATGGTTTCAAAAGTAATCGAAATTTAGCCACTTTTCATGTAAAGATAAATCTGAGCGAAAACACTGTTCAAAACCCGGAAAATACGCCAGTATATTACATTAGAAAATACGCCAGCATAATATGATGGAGTTCTAGCATAAGTACACTAGAACTCCAGCATAATATACTGAAGTTCCAGCAAGTATAATTGTCCAGTATAATATATTGGAGTTTGGAGCACCGGTGCTCCAGTCTCCAGTATATCATATTGGAGTCAGCAAAGTATACCGGTCCAACATAATATGCTGGAGTTCATATACAGGTGCACCGAACTCCAGTATATTATGCTGGACCGGTCTCTGTTGCAGCAAAATAGTGGCTATTTTTCATTGACTTCGTAAATGCTGGCTATTTTTGAATGACTAGTCCGAAAACTGGCTATACCGTACTATTTTACAATTTTATCTAGTTATGCAAAACTGGAATCCTAATTATTATTATTATTATTAGGGATATTTGTACTTAATTACTTAATATAGCAAGATTTTAGGCTCTAATTTTTTCCATTTTTCACTCCCTCTCACACTAGCATACTATCACGTGTTGGACTAACTCCACACAAAATTAAAGCAAACTCAACTTAATATGCTGCCTTCCTTAAATACGAATTGTTCCCTGTTATTATGATACACATCGCATAAAATTAAAACAATAAGTGTAGGATCTTAAAATCTTTAGTGGAATTCAATGGGAAACTTTGACAACAAAACCGTCGAAGGGTAGTTTGCAATTCATCTCCTTTTCCAATCTACTCTTTAGCTTTACATTTAAGACTACTAACCTATATTGGGTGGTTATCAATTCTCCTGGAATAACCTTATCTTGTATGCTACTAACTCCAAACCTTATCTTGTATGCTTCTATCTCATTTCTTGCAAGGATAAATCTATTTGATTATTGTAATAGTGTACTAAATATTGTAAAATATTTTTTATTAAATGTTATAGGGTGGCAGGTATTTATTGCGTTTTTATGAGCATCATTCTTTCCGGTGACAAATAGAATAGTTGTCTTCGATTTTAACTATCCTCTACATTCGGCTCCACGTGTCACTCTTATGCAACCACTTAGCATAGCATATTTTACCCTTATGCACTGCTACCCGCTTCTATTAAGGCTGAGCTTAATAGAAACAAGAGACTTGGAGCAACAATTAGAATAAAATATTATTTAATCGTGAAAATGCCAAACCTTATTGCAATAATATCTCCGATCTATTTTACCTCTACGACCTTATCTTTAAGTCATTATATAATAATAATTCCCACTATGTTCCTATTTTTATCTATCCCACGGTACTATAATTTATAACATGTCTTACCTATCTCTCTAGCGTTTTGCCAAGTCCAATTAATTTCTTGATGGCACGCATATCAACTCTCCTTCTTTTTAAGGTATCCACTAATTTCATTGACTTTCTTGTCAAAGTTCGTATATTTCAGCTATCTGCCCGAATCCATCTCTCTTAGACTAGCTTTTTAACCCTCATCGGTCCATCATGCGGAACTCTTTTTGCACAATAACGTGCAAAACTCCTTACCTTCTTTAAAAGAAAAAAGTTACCTCATTGTTTGATATGTGGCAATCTCATACCTACTATTAATTGATTATTTGGCCTAATTGAAATAACCCAGGATAGGTTATATATATTAGTAGATTTTTACCGATTCGTATATATTTTATTAAAAAATTAAAGATCCAATTCTCCCGTTAAAGCAGATAACAAGCGTCCTATTTTGTATCTATAGAAAATAATCCCGAATATTTACCAATGCCAAAAGCTCCATAATTTTGCTAAAAGCTTCACAACTGGACCTTTTTCAAAGTTACTACATTAGAAATAGGAGTATCATTCATGATAAGCAAGTAACTCCTTTTTTCTTCGTTCAATTTTCTTTCAATTTGATCCGCTTTCCCTTTTGAGCCCCTCGGAAATGTTAACTGAATTCAAAAAATATTTTTTCATTATTTTTTGGTACATTAACGAAGTGCTCAGATCAATTCTTCGCTGCAGTCGTTTCAATCCACCCCCTCGGCCGTTACTAGTGGATTTAGTGGTAAACCCAATCTATGACTATTCAACGGGAAATGGTGAAGTACGTGAATCGACTTTTTTGAACCCCTCGAGAATATTTAATTAATGGCAAAAGATAGCTTGTAACGATGGCAAAATAGGTGCCAGTTATTGAGATCTGTCAGTAAAGATGTAACTTAAATCATTCCCTAATCTATGGTTCTAAAGGATTAGTCTAATATAATTATAAATAGAGGATAAACAATAGTAATTAACTTAGCCCATAGCTCAGAACAGTTGCGAAGCTTAAATTACAGTTGTCCTTTTTCATTAAACTCTAATCTTTTCTTTACATCTAATTCCATAATGGATTCTCTTTCTTCCATTAGCTGTCTTGTCTTTAGTCTTCTTCATCGGCAACACAGGCTGTAAGAGAGACGAATTATCAGACAACTAAGACTCGTCGAGTAGAAATATAATCACAAATGCAAACAACATAACATTAATCTGCAAATGGTAAATAATTGTTTTTTTAAGATGGACACAAACAGAAACAAAGAATGACTACTATAATAGGCAGAAAACAAGTAACTGATTACAATTCAGGATACATCTTAGCTCATATAAATCGAGTAATAGTTATAAATGTTTACAGAATAAAGTAAACGTTCAGAAAATTTCATAATAGCCTGCCTGCCATCGTTCTCTGAAGTTCGGGAAACCAGACACTTCCTCTGATAAAATCGTACATCTTGATTCTTGAACAAGATAATTAGGTTTTCTAGCACCAGATGCTAGTATAATAAAAGCTAAAAGCAGGGATTCCATCCAATTAAGAGGAAATTATCTCTATCAGCCAACAGCTAGAGAGGAACAATCTCTAGTAGAAACTCTGAAAAGCTAAATGGTGCAAAGGTTAAATCCAAAGGCTTAGGATTCATTTCAGCTGTTTCAGGAAATGATCTCGTAATTGAGTTGGAAAACTTATCTGACATAGCCCATATCACAAAATTGAGGTGCCTTTGCATTAATAATTTTTAACTAATAGTAAAACATATATACATTCTGGTAGAAGATAACAGACAAACCAGAAAGAACAGTGCGCGCGCGCACACACACCAGTGCCATTATTAAGATTGCAAAAGGGGCTAAATCCTTAAAGTCAAGCTCCAAATAGACAGCATGACACATAATAAAAGAGAAATATATTAACAAAACACGAAACAAGTATACTTTCTATATACTGGATAGTGAACTTGGATTGTCACCTTATGTTTGTACACTTTAAGAACGTTCAAAATTGCTTTGCTGCTAAAACTTAAATGTAATTACTTTTAGCAAGCGTGATTGTAAGGTAAACGAGAAAATTGCTCAAGAAAAGCCCAGAGAAGACACTGAATTTCGCAGTAGCTTCCTTCAATAATTTCCCCTCCCACTATCATTAGCAACAACAACAACAACATACCCAGTAATATCTTATACCGTGGGTTCTGGGGAGGGTAGTATGTACGCAGATCTTACTCCTACCTTGTGAGGATAGAGAGGCTGTTTCCAATAGACCCTCGGCTCAGGAAAGCATAAGCACCACATTAATGAAAATATAGACAAGAAGGGACAGTACCAAAAAGCCATATAAAAGCAGAATGAAAACAACAAGATAGCAAGGTGATCAACAATGAAAGAAAATAACGGTTAGTCATAAAAACCTATTACCAACAGAAAGCGAAACTGCGCGCCAATAATACTGTTATGAACACTCTAAACTACCTACTCTACTACCCTAATCCTCGACCTTCATATCTTCCTATCAAGGGTCATGTCCTCGGTCAGCTAAAGTTGCGTCATGTCTTGCCTAATCACCTCTCCCCACCTCTTTTTTGGCTTACCTCTACCTCTCCGTAGGCCCTCCAATGTCAACCACTCACACCTCCTTACCGGGGCGTCTGTGCTTCTCCTCCTCACATGACCAAACCACCTAACCCGCACTTCCCACATCTTGTCCTCAATAGGGGCCAGACCCATCTTGTCGCGAATAACCTCATTTTTTATCCTATCTAACCTGATGTGCCCTAACATCCATCTCAACATCCTTATCTCTGCTACCTTCATCTTCTGGACATGAGCAATCTTGACTAGCCAACACTCAGCCTCATACAACATCGTTGGCCTGACCACCACTCTGTAGAACTTACCTTTAAGTTTCAGTGGCACCTTCTTGTCACATAAAACACCGGAAGCGAGTCTCCATTTCATCCATCCCGCCCCAATACGATGTGTGACATCTTCATCAATCTCCCGATCCCCCTAAATAATAGACCCAAGGTACTTAAAACTTCCCCTCCTAGGGATTCCCACTATCATTAGCAACTGCCTCTAATGTTGGATATCCATTAATCCTGCCATCTCATCCACTCTCCACCTCTTCTAAACATCTCATTACCACATTTCTCTCTTCTCATATTCTTCCTGGACCTAATTTGACCCACTTGCACAGTTCACCTGTGGTCCACACCACTCCCTTATCACATGAACCACCCAAAAGCCTACTACAAAAACTAGTGATGTTCTCGTCAGACCTGGCACACTCTAGTCATCATTGGAAAATCCCAGATGTAAAGGCCTACTACCCATGAAAACACAAATTACCAATAGAACTAGACCTGTAACCTCATATCTGCATATCTTCCTCCTTCAAACACCTCTCTTTTTTAAAAAGTGAACTTGCTATTCTATGCACGTATCTGCACTCTCCTTTCACAGATTCATTACATCATCAATTATCAGTGTCACCAAAACAAGTGCAAATCTATCAATTAGTTCCTGCCTCACACTATATCACTTACGATCTCAAGTCAACCAGCAAGTGCCCCATTATAGAGCACAACCAAGAATCATGTCCACACCATATTAAAGTATCTGAAAATATGAAGTTGGAATACAAACCCTATCACCTTAACACCATGATCATTGCTGGAGCTCCACTATGTGTGTGCTATAAGTTTTAGCAAAAACTACTATGATTCGTGCCTTCTTAAAAAATGTCCATCCATGTAAAATTTATTTATTCTAATTTGACAAATTGCAGTATTCAATTCTATTGTGTTTCTTGCTCAACGTGTATTAAGAACTTTGGTTTTCCGGGAAAGAACTTACTATTGTAGCTCTATGGTTTCAGCTCAATGAGAAATGAGCTTATAAAATATGAGACCTGTGACCTTAGTTAGACAGTGCATGGTGGTAATTCATCTACTTCAACATGCTGTTGAAAGGTCAGACAATGGGATTCAACAGCAGCTTTTCATATCAAGAATTATCATTTGTCATGCAAAAGCTGCAGCTTTTGCAACTTTAAAGTCACTATGCATAGCTATATGATCATAACTTACAGAAAAAACACAATACTATAAAAATATGAACAATTAATACTGATTTTCTGATTACATGAGTATTAATTTATACGATGCGGAGCCAGGATTCAAAGTTTATGAGTTCAGAACTTGCCTCCGAATACATAGCTCGTCTTAGTTACCGTGTTTGCAATTAAAAAGTTATACATATTTAATGGATTTCCTAATACAAATGTATGATATAAGCAAAAGCTAATGGATTTACCGAACCCGTAGCTAATGCTCTAGCTCCACCCTTGTTATAAGTGGCACTCATGCCATATAGAGCAAATCTCAAGTTAAAGCAATGTCTAGAAGCATGAGTGCACCCTATTCTTTGGCAACCAACTACATGTAAATGCAAACGAATATACATGATTTGTTTTTCTTTTGTGCATGTATTACCAAGCGTATGACTAACACTTGTAAAGGTGGAGCAGCAGAAAATTATACATGGCAGATTTCTAGTCCAGACTGTCCTCTTCCCTTGGATAAAGGAGGTATTTTACCACATCACAACTGAAAGCTTATATTTTTGAAGCAAGTGAGGCCCTTGTAAAGTGTGCAAAACCAGTAAATGTATGCTTAACACTGAAAGCGGAGAAGATTTATAGATTTCAACTACAGTAAGCTGAGAAAACGAAGGATGGCCATAACCTTTGATAACCAATACTAGTATCTTTTGACAAAGTTGAGTAGGATTTACTTTTCCAGGTATTTTAGGAGCTCTATTGCACAAAATTGACTGGGCTATACTTCCCTGGTTTTTAAGTACATGCTCCTCAATCGGAAATTTTGAAGTAGCATTTTAATCACTTCACTCGCTTGCAGCATCCACATGCTCCCAGACTAGGCAAGATTTGTAGCTGCTTTAGAGGAACCAGCACATTTAACTAAGAGCAAGTAATCTTCCATGAACATGCTTGTCAGAACCTCAAAGTATAATGATGCAATGAGGCTGGAAAGGGAAACTATTTGGGAAATAAGGCGGAGAGAAGTGGTGTGGGAATGACCTCTTGCCATTTCATTGCACAAGCTCCCTTAGTAAGTGCCTTCTCAAAAAGAAAAAGGTTTATCCCTTAAATCTAGCTTTTGCTTTTTATCTGTTTAATTGTTGTTGGTCTAATATACAAGCTCAATCTATGAGCAATTTCATGCCTGATTTAGTTTACCAGCACATCCAGTAACTCCTCAAATCACATCTTTTGCTTTCTCATCATGGGCTGACCTTGCTCACAGGTAGTATAGCTAGTAATGAGTAATTCAAAAATGTTAAAAAGGCATCTCTATTTAGCCCTGAACTGAATCCCTAATAGAGAAATTGTCAACTAAACTCAACTTGGGAAGTGAATACGGTGAAATAGAAAACGTCAATGGAAGACAGTTTCAACAAAAAGTAAAGAATTCAATTTCTAACTAAAAGAAAGCAAAAACCCCCATATAAATCACCAAAAATAAAATCTATGAAATTCACGGAAAAACCCAGAAGCAAGAAGTACCTCCACAGCAGAAACAGCAGTAGCAACAAGAAAGGATCATGAGTAAGTCCCTACAAATCACAACTAATTTCCCTCCTCCTCCACCGCTGGTACTAGAACTGCTTGGTTCATCATCCAGAAGCTTCTGATCATTATTTCCACAGTTCTGGGACTTGTTACGTTTCTTCTGACTATCCATTCTGTGAAGGTTCCATTCTAGATTCTTCAAGTAACCCAATTTGAATGAGTCCCTTAATCTCATTGATGGCCATAGATGCATCTCTCTCACTTTGGTGTGAACACTTTCTAAGGATCAAAAAAATGATTTTCTTCAATGGAATACTATTTTCAGTATAATAATAAGGTTGGGTGTAGATTGTGTGTACAAATATTAAATCACTACGTGTTACATGTGATTTGGTATGTATATAATACTCATCTCTTATTGCCTTCCCGGAGCCCACCATTTTACTTGCCTAACTTATCTTTTGAAAAACTTTTAAATTTGAAAACTAAAAAGTAAGAGGTGAAAAGCAAAAGGTATGCTAATAATTATAGGCGTAAGGATCACAACAAAATACAGACCTCAAATTCAAAACTTTATTTATAGGTGGAAGAAGTGGGGAAGTCGGGAAATTCAATTGGGGTGTTTAAATTTTGAATATTTTTTGTCAGTGAGCTATGCCAGCGTGTTCAAAGTCTATTTTTAATCAACAACAAGTAATATTTTTCGGTGAAGGGTGATTAATTGACCAATCTTGGGCCAACATAGCTTCGCCCATGGGTGAAAGAATTATACCCATTACGATTACACATAAAACTCATATGAAATTTATTTGGCCATTAATGAAATGCTCATAAAATATGATTCTTGCTAGTTTATTTTAGATATTTCTGCTGTGTCCAAAAAATAATCTTTAAACTTGTGTTCATTAGATGGGGTCAAGCAAATTGAAATTTGGGGGGTACTTCTTTTGGCTTTAAATGACAATACCTATTGCAATTCTAAACTAATTGAGGTTTAACAATGCTTATTTCATTTCAATACCGGTAGAACACTCTTCTTTAGGCAGCTTCAGTTGATTTTGGATAAAAGTTTGAGAGCGATAGTAATGCAAAAATTTGTCAGTTTGTATTGAATTCATTTCAGACGAATATTAATTTCTTACGTTCGTGAAAGACACGAGAGTTGTGTAAACATAAAATTCAAACTAATGGAGTATTAAAAAATCTGAGCTCTTTGATCAATATTTTATTATCGAAAAGGCAATAGTATTTCGAAATGGTACTAACAGTGTATTATACAACCAAAACAACATCATGAAATGATCACATGAGAGTAAAAATCATTTATTGAAGATCGAAACGTTCAGATGTATAACAGATTTTTCACAGATTGAAAATGGAAGGCATAATAAGGTGATCATAAAAATTGAAGGAATTTGTACCTCTGAAGTCTGAACTTTGCAATGGATGATGAAGATGCAAAGAGCGAAATAATGAATTTGTAATCAACGTAATTTACAACTCGATCTGCGTCGACAGGGTTTTGTTTATCTTTTTCTCCCCACGTAAAGTGATTTTGCTCTCCTTTTCTTTCATTTCCGAACGCTATTTATTTAGATTTGTGACACTTGTCCTCACTAAATATTAAAGTCTCAGATTTATTAACTAAACAATAGTCTTAACGATGGTTAACAAGGTAATTATACCTATTATTACAGGGAAAAAATACTTTATGACTTATGTAGTAAATATTTATCTCCAAAAATATTACTGGACTACTAAAGTATTTCCCTGAAAAATACAAAAAAAATTTGGCTATTGACAAGTACATACAATAACAATAACAAATTCAGTGCAATCACATATTGGATTTGAGGAGAATAGTGCGTATATAGACTTTAATCCCTATATCGAGAAGATTGAGAGTGTTGGATTTAAGCTTATAAATTATAATAGCTTAAAATAGAGTGAATAGGAAATGGAGGAGAAAATGAAAATTTTAAATTTTCCTATTTGACAAAGGGACATTGTCCTATATTGGAGGAGGAAAAGAGTTTTGATGGGTATATATACAATTGCACTTCTTCTAACTCTTCAAAAGTTGAGAAGAAGCCAAGCCTCGCGCCGTCGTCGTCGTTCGGCTCGGCTTCGATCAATTGATTGTTTGATATTTTGGATCAAATTTATTTGTTAATACTAAAATTAATGTAATATTATAATCAGAAAAGGGACAAATATATCCTTTTACTATCGAAAATTATTTTAAACTTACCCTTCATTATATTATTTGGCCATTTCAGATCCTACCGTGATACTATGAATCCCATTTATCCTTATTTTTATGGAGGTCCACGTGACAGCTCCTCATTAAATGACTCACCCCTAATTTAATTTACATGGTTCATAACTCAAACTACTCATAACCCCGATGTTATAACTATTCTCCTTTCTCTTTTTGTTTTTGCTACCCTCTTAAGGTGGCCGTCATTGCCGCTCGACCCCTTCCGGCCCGACGCAGCCACCAGTTGCTGCTACTCCAATCTGGCCACCTCCCTCACCACACACACCTCGGCCTCTTTACTCTCACTTGGTCTCCCAACTTGCAGATCTGTTCACATTTATTTTCTTCTCAACGGCTCTGATGAAGTTGTTGACTGTAATAATACTATAAATTTTCTCCTCATCTATCCTCCACCAGTACACCTTCTTTTCACATCCACATATAGACCTTTATTTTCTAGATGAAACAGGGGGTCCAAAGATGTTAATAGCAAAGGAAATAACAAAAAGTTCACATTTTTTGGGATCTTTCCAAAGCTAAAGCAAACTTCATTGGGAAGATCCAAGGTTGTATTTTAGCATGGACAACGAAAGGTATTGCAGATTAAGTACTTGAAATGAAAAATCAAAGGCAACAAGAGGATTGAAGTTGATGGGTTTCATGGGATCTATATAACTGGTTGTTTGATGATTACGAAAATGGCTATACTGTGTTGATGTTCAAATTAAAGAAATCAAGTTATGACGCTCTTGCAAGAGATCTCTTTGCCTGAACAAATGCTGCAAGCTGCGATGATCCGTATAAACCTCACATGACACCCCATACAGATAATGCCTCCATATCTTAAGAGCATGAACAATCACGGCTAACTCCAAATCATGCATAGGGTAATTCTTCTCATGAATCTTTAGCTGACGTGAAGCATATGCAATAACTCGCCCCTCCTGGATCAATACACAATCCAAGCCAACGCGTGAAGCGTCGCACTATATACATCCTCGAACCGGAAGGCAACACCAGAACTAGTGTTGTGGTCAAAGCTGTCTTGAGCTTCTGAAAGCTCGTCTCACAATCATCAGACTAGCGAAATGGAGCACCCTTCTAGGTCAATCTAGTCAAAGGTGCTGCAATGGATGAAAACCCCTGCACAAACCGGCGATAATAACCTGTTAACCCCAGGAAACTCCTGATCTCAATCACCAAAGTGGGACGAGGCAAACCCTGAACTGCCTCAATCTTCTTGGGATCCACATTAATACCCTCGCCTGATACAACATGACCCAAGAATGCCACAGACTCTAGCCAAAACTCACACTTGGAGAACTTAGCATACAACTTCTGTTCTCGCAATGTCTGAAGCACTACTCTCAAATATTGCTCGTGCTCCCCTAGACTACGTGAGTAAATCAAGATGTTATCAATGAAGAAAATAACAAAGGAATCAATATAAGGTATGAACATCCGGTTCATCAAATCCATAAACATCATCGGAGCATTAGTCAAGCTGAAGGACATCACCAGAAACTTATAATGGCCATACCTAGTATGGAAAGCAGTCTTCGGAACATCTGAGTCCCGAAACTTCAGCTGATGGCACCCTGACCTCAAGTTGATCTTAGAGAACACCCTAGCATCCTGCAACTGGTCAAATAAATCATTGATACGCGACAATGGGTACTTGTTCTTGATGGTAACTTTGTTCAACTGACGGTAATCAATGCACATCCGCACAGTTCCATCTTTCTTCTTCACAAATAACACTGGTACACCCCAAGGTGATACACTTAGTCTGACAAACCCCTTTGCTAACAACTCCTCCATCTGTTCCTTCAACTCCTTCAACTCTTTTGGAGCCATACAGTACGATGGGATAGATATAGGTTGGGTACCTGGAGCCAAATCAACACAGAAATCAATATCGCGATCTAGTGGCATGCCTGGAAGGTCAGAAGGAAACACATCAGCAAACTCCCGAACTATTGGCACTGAATCAATCATCGGAGACTCTGTAGTGATATCCCAAGCATAGGCTAGATAAGCCAAACAACCCTTCTTGACCATATGTCGAGCCTTCAGAAAAGAGATAACCCGGCTAGCTGTACTAACAGAGGAACCCTTCCACTCTAATCTCGGCAACTAACCCTTCCACTCTAATCTCGGCAACTCTGGTATGGCTAAAATGACATTCTTGGAATGACAATCAAGGATGGCGTGCATGGGGATAACCAGTCCATGCCCAGAATGACCTCAAAATCGTCCATATCAAGTAACAGAAGGTCTGCTCTAGTCTCATAACCACAGAATGTGACCACATAGAACCGATAGATCCGATCCACAACCACAAAATCGCCCATAGGAGTGGACACATAAACAGGAGTACCCAAGGAATCACGAGGAATATCCAGGAAGTGAGCAAACAGAGATGATACATATGAATAGGTAGACCCTGGATCAAATAATACCAAAGCATCCCTACTGCAGACAACAATAGTACATATGATCACGACATCTAATGCCACTACATCTGGTCTGGCCGGAAAATAATAGAATCTAGCTGGAGCGTTGGCTGGCTGGCCTCCACCTGGCTGAACAATAACTGGCTAACCTCCCCCTGCCTGGCCTCCACCTCTAGGATGACCCCTACCCGCTTGTCCCCCACCTCTGGGCGGTTGGACGGCTGGTGCTGCAATCATGGGTTGATAACCTTACCGTATTGCCTTGCCCTGAAGTCTGGGATAGGTCTTCTTCGTGTGACCCAGATCTCCACACTCGTAACAACCTCTTGGTACCATAGACTGCTGCCCCGATGTCTGATCCTATAGCCTAAATACCCACTAGAAGGACCCTGAATGGCTGGTAGGCGGTACGAACTCTCTAGCATGACATTGTAATAGGCACTGGAAGGACCCTGATGAGCTGGTGGGCGATAAGAACTCTCTAACATAGCACTAAAATAGGGTCATACTGGAGCACCCTAAGGAGGTGGGGGTGTTGGATACGTGGGCCTTGCTAGGCTGACCCCTCCCAAACTAACCTCTACCCCTAGCCGGGGCACCTCTAAACTCTCTAGAGAATTGAGTCCTCTTGTCCTGCTACATCTGCTCTCTACCTCTCTAGCGATAACCCTCAATCCTCCGAGCAATCTCCACCACTAGCTGATAATCGATACCCATCTCAACCTCTCGGGCCACGGTAGCCGGAATACCGAGGTGCAACCCTGCAACAAATCTCTGCACTCTCTCTGCGTCTGTAAAAAGTATCATGAGTGCATGGCGAGACAACTCAAAGAATCTCGCCTCATAGTCTGTCACTAACATCTGACCCTGCTCGAGCTGCTCGAACTAACCTCGCAACTCTTCCCTCTACATGTCCAATAGAAGTTGTGTAAACTGGTCCCAAGTCATGGGAGGAGAACTCACTGGTCTGCTAAGAAGATAAGACTGCCACCATCTAAGGGCACTGCCCTCTAGCTGGCAAGTCGTAAAATCCACCTTGTGGGACTCCAATATCCTAATGTTATGCAGTCTGTCCCTCCACCGATCAATGAAGTCATGGGGGTCCTCACGCCGCTCACCCCGAAGATAGGAGGGTGTAGCCTATCCCATCTGTGCAATAGCTTCTACAGATTGCCATCTGCAGCTTGTCTAGGCTCAGGTGCAGCTGCAGCAATTGGCTGGGCCCCGCCCACTGGTAGTTACCAGGAGTCTGATATACTGCAGCTGCGCACCCAGGAGACTGAGCAGAAGGGGTCTGTGCTCCCCCTTCTGCCTGAGATATGGCTGGGTCTGCTGGAAATAAACCAGCCTGAGTCATAGTGACGATGAACCGCAACATACGGCCTATGACCTCCTGGAAGCCCGGTGTTGTCATGAAATCTACCGGGGCTAGCTCTGCGGCAGGAACCTCGCCCTGCTCCTCAATGATGGGATCCTCTACTGTATTTGCTAGTGGGGCTACCGGGGCAGCTCCGGGATGCCTTCGCCCCTAGCTTGGGCCAGTGCCCTCCTCCTAGCTCAGGCCGGTGCCCTCCCCCGGCCTCTGCCTCGGCCTCCAACAATGGGGGGAGAAACTCCTCCCAGGTCTGGAATGTTCACTGTATGCGTCCTCACCATCTATGAGAGAATAGAAGAAGGAAACTTAGTATACCTTCAACTGCACGATAGGAGATGAATAAAGAGTAGTTTCCTAACACTCATAGCCTCTCGAAGATAAGTACGGACATCTCTGCACCGATCCGCAAGACTCTACTAGGCATGCCCATAACTTGTGAGACCTATGTGAATCT